GTGTTGCATTTTAAAGTTGCACAAATGTGCCTTGTTTGGATTAGTACATTTTAAACTCAGTTATTTTGTAAAAACAGATCTGCTAGAACAGATACCCCAGTGCTTTAAGAGCCACACAGTTTCACAGAGGCACAAAGTGCAGTTTACTGAACCACGTTTCCTCCTCACATCATTGTATGCAAAAAGCCAGCACTGCAGTGATGAAGGGTAGCACAAGCATAGCCTCATAATCAGGGCACATTATACTGCAGTTCTCTTCTTTAGCCATAAGCAGTTACAATTATAGCTTCTTTACTTTGTTTGCTTTTTCTGCTCTGACAGAATGGCCCCTGCCAACCAGCCGAAGGAAAAGAAACACATGAAGGCTCATGAGCATCAGCCAGAGGAAGAGGCAAAGTCAGCTGAGAAAAGGAAACGAGGATCTGGCGAACTAGAAAATGAGCCACAAGCAAAGAGACTGTTTGTGAGAAAAGCTTTGAAACCCACAGAGAAAACAGGTAAATCTCCCTTGGGCTCTCATTTTCTTTTTTGCCCACAAGGCCTAATTTGAGCAAACTATCAGCCAAATCTTCAGATAGCTGGCATAGGAAGATATCAAGGAGCCAACAACTTGTTCAGACAGGAGCGTTGGGATTGGCTTATGTTCCTACATGAGGAGCGGATAATATATGGAAACATTTTTTCCCCCAGTAATCTGTTTAGAGACTGCAGTAAGCATGCACATATACTATTTTCTTGAAAGTCACAGCTCATCACTTTAAAATGGGGCTCAAGGAAGTTTACATTGCCACTCATTGGAGAGAGATTTGGCTTTGTGAAATTTTTGAATGGCTGAATTTCTGCTTCCTTGTAGGCAGGCAATCCTGGTAATAGTTTTTTTTTTCATGTTAATTCCTCACACTGTTTCATAACTGACAGCTTAGTAATACACACCATACTATTTACACCAGCCTTTCCACCTGGATATCATGCTGCAGCCAACAGTAAGCTGTTTTGTAGAGCTGGGTGCCAGTTCTAGCTAGGTGCTACATTTTTCTGCTGTTATTGTTTAAGGTCCTGTCCAGAGAGACAAGGGCTAATTCTTTTGTGTTGATATTTTCAGTGATCAGTCCCAGGAACCTTTGTAGACTTGCATTAAGGACTCTGTGTCTCTACACATTCAGGGCTGTCACTCTTAAGCTATATTTTGCTTATGGGATCTCCAGAGATATTTCTTTTTCTAGAATGTTTACAAGACATCCATTCTAGGGACTCAGAAAGTATTGAAGAAGAACAGTTCCTTTAATATCTATTTGGTGGTACCCTGAGAGCTACAATAGTGCTAGCAAGTGCTTTTCTGCTTTACCTGTGCTTCATTTGCCCCAGTTTCTCTAGTGTATGAACAAAGCCTCTAGAGTATGTAGTAATACAAGCTGTGGAAACTAGAGGTAAATGTTCTGCTTAGTATGTTTGTGGGGTTTTGTTATAGTTTAATTTGTTTTTTTTATAGCTTCAGGTCCAATTTTCACTTTGGTTTCCAAAGGACTTAGGGGTGGTCAGCACCCTGGAAAATCTGACCAATCATGTTGTTATTTATAGCTTTCTTAACAGATTTTTTGTCTGAATCTTCCCCTTTTGTATCCTGATGTGAAAGGCCAGGCTTAATTTTTGTACAGTTTGAATAGAATCCATTCAGTAGTTTCTGATTTATGCAATAGTTGGCTTAGGGAAATATTTTTTTCCATTTTGAAGAGGAGCATGCACTTTTTTGCATAGATGCTTAAAATACATCAGTTTAAACATGTGATATTTTATATGTAACTTGTCTCCATGGATAATCATGCCAAATAAATCATGTAACTTTTTCAGCATTATAAGCAATTAAATTAATGTTTTGTTCATGTGGTGGTGCCGATAGCTGAGTCAAGCCATTGCTATGCATTTTCTTGCTGGTTTAGCATCAGAGCTACCAGGTTGCAGTTATGCAACCACATAATGCCAAAGGAGTCTTTGCAGCTGTCTGAGTCTCTTCCTGAGATCCCTGGTTAGGCTTAGCTGGAAGAACACAAACTGTGTTTTGAAGGGCACGGAGCCTAATGAGATTCATCCACTAAGCATATTGAGATTCTTCAGTCCATAAGAACTTTTGTAAAAAGTTTCCCTGTAGCTAAGCAGAGACTTCTGTCCTGGCCCTGCTTCAAGTTGTTTTAACTGCATTTCTGCTTAAAATGGGTAGTTGAGAATTGTTCTTGCTATGGGGGGCAGTGTTTAAGGAGTTGTCCTTCCTCTAAACTCAGACATGTCTAAAGAGCACATTAAAAACCCTTAATGACAGAACTGAAGTCTGGGATAAAAAGCTCCCTCAGTCCAAGAGGTGAAATCCTCAAGATGTTATAAATCTTTGAAAATGGGGAGTTTGAATGGAGATGGCTTTTCCTCCATAACAACAGCAGATGTGATGAACACAGTGTGTGTAATTTAATTTTCTTAATTTCTAGGCTTCAGTATTGCATTAAGAAGGTTTTTTCATTTTATATATAATGCTCCCTTTGTTTCTGTCCTCCTTGTTTTTATTAAGAGGTATCCTTGTATAAAAGCAGAATTTGTGGGTCTTAATAAATGCATTTGCTCTGCTACATCCTGATCTGGCATCTGGATTCCCTGGGATGTTATATTCCCAAGCTATGGGGGTGGTTTGGTCAGATGCATGAGGTTGAACAGATCCTGTTTTCCTGTAAATGCCCCTGATGATAAAACCTAGAACATGAACAAAACACAAAGAGCATGTGGTGCAGCTCAGCAGAATTTTCCCCATACAGAAAGGTTTTTAGGCTTCTGTGTGTGGGGAGCCAGCAGGTGTGTTATCAAAACCAAAGCTTGCAGGGCAGTGCAAGTAGACAGAATGTTCTGATTTATGAGCTGGAATTGCAAGGGCATGCCTGGGAAATTCCATGGGAATCTTTAGGTGCAACTAAAAATTGAGTTGGTCTAATAAAAGATATCAGATTTACCTAAAGAACCTTGTCTGCCTAGGTGCAACTAATACGTTTCTGTCCCCAGTCTGGTCCCAGGCCTGAATTCTCCTCTACTATGGGTTTAGATGCTTATCCCAAAGATTGCTTTCTCCTTTCTGTGTCATTACTCCACTCCAGGTCTTACTTTCCCAGTCCAGGTGTTCTTGCTATATCAGAGCAATGAACATGGCATCTAACAGCTGAGGAAAAGCATTGCCTATAAACTTACTATAGCCTCTTTCCTTTTGCCTCTGTTGAGAGATGCTGAGGGGGAATGAGGCTGTCAAGCTGTGGATGCATGGTGCTCTGAAGCTTCAGGATGCTGCTCACACTCACAGGAATCATTTGATGTCCTTTCTCTTATGACCAGAATTCACTACTGGGTTCAGCAGCCCATGCACCCATTTCTCCAGTATGGACACGCACTTACTATCAGTAAGTTTTGCTGTTTTGTGCTCTGGCAGGCTGGGCTAAAGGTGGCTCCACGATCAGAAACATGGGGGTGCTTTTCCATCAGCTGAAGCAGCAGTACAGCATCATCCATTACATCTACCAGAACATGCTGGGTGGCTCTATCCGGGCACAGCTCAGACAGGTGAGGGTTTCTTCTTCCCATCCTCCTGAATAGCTGAGCTCCCTACAGAGTTTATGTTAAAAAAATAATATAAAAGCCTAACCTTGAAAACATATGGGTATGTTAGACCCCCTTCCCCTTCTATCCAGGCCCATGGTTTCCATGCCTGTCATATGACTAAACTTTTACACTGGTGTGCAGATAAAGTCTGATGTATTCCTGCTTTTCCTTGGAGACCATGCCAAATAAAGCTGCTAAGATAATTTTCCTTGTTTGTTGATTCTGCCATTTCATTCCCACTTTTGCATCTCCCTAATTCTCTGCTTCCTTGCATTAAAATTAAACTGCTTGTTGTAGCATTTAAGACCCTGCACAATGGTCTTTCCTTGTACCCATCTGACCTAGTCCCTTATCTCCTACCTGTGGTGTTCTGCTAACAGTGCCAGCCTTGATATCCACTTCTCTCGAAAGCATTTCTACATGTTGTTCCCCCTTGTGTCTCTGAGGCAAGTAGTGCCCTTTCTGAAAGCAGTTTTGGAGGCCTAATTCTGCTCTTGTTCAATATTTATTTAAGGATTAACTTTTATCATGACCACAAGGAGTGAGTCAGCTAAGACAGTTTCATTTTCTATGTTTAGGTAGTTTAAGTATTTTTCATTAAACAATAATTTATTTTGTATCTACCTGATTTGTCACTTTCTGCCTTTTCTTACCCACTCTATTGTTATCCTTTTGTTCTGCTGTGTCATTTAGAAGAATAAACTTTGGAAAAAGGACCATGTATTTAGGTCTTTAGATACTGCTTAACACTTCAGGTGCTTGGTGAATAAATACTGGAAGAATGTGTGGTTGCTGGGATTTTCTTCGTATAGGGAAAGCTTATTAATGTCATATTAATGTAATGGTAGATTCATAGGGTAGGAACAGACCTGAAGGGTCATCTTGTCCAATTTCCATGATTCTAGTAAACATTGCTTCTTCCCTAGTCCAAAGACCCTGGCTCCTTTTACAGTGTTTAGAGAGTGATTTCTCACCACTTTTGTCATCAGCTGTGTGAGTAGCTGCAGCTGGAGTACTTTTGTTTTGTGAAGGGTCTGTCTCTCCACAGGTTTTGTGCTCCCACCTACTGATCATCTAACTCTGAAGATGGAAATAGTGTCTTTATAGGAGGCCACTACCCTGGGGGTAACTACTCACACTGTACAGATCAAGAATGGAATCTGGACCTGCCTTTTGCTACCAGATTGACTTACATTTATTCTGCAAGATGGGGCGCACAGTGAGTCTGCTGGTTTGCCTGCTCAGCTGTGACTTTAGTGTGTTTAAAAGCAAGCAGAGTGCTCATTTTCTCCTTGGCGTTACTGGAGATCAGTTTTACTGTGCCAGTGCCCTAAGAAGAATGCGTCACTGGCAGTGTGTACATGGTCTGTTGGTGCTTTTTAAATAGTTTCTGATATTGCAAGCTCTTTAAAGACCCCAGTCTCTTACTGTCTTTGAAACAGTGTCTCCAGCTGCCCTTCCTGCGTTCTCTCACCTCATACCGCCTCTTCCGAACAGCAAGCCCCTTTGACAGGAGAGTGACATGTCTGGAATGGCATCCAACACACCCCAGTACTGTGGCTGTGGGCTCCAAAGGTGGAGATATCATTCTTTGGGACTATGAAGTACTTAACAAAACCTGCTTCATAAAGGGGGTAAGTCACTTGGTGTGTGGGATGGGCATGGGGGTGGCCTGGAATAGCCCTGAGTGCTGCAGGTCAGATTGAGGTGCACTGTTTGAATTACCCAGACCAAGACTGGATGGGTGTGTGTACTGCAGGAGTGGACTGAGATGCAACCTCAAAACTGTGTGAGGCCCAGGACTTGGTTAGAATGGGGAGGCTGCAGGTCAGATGGAGGTGTGTAGAACTGGTGGAGAAGTTTCCCCACACTCTGGGGCTGAGGGGTGGGAGGATGAATCTCACAGTGGTAAGACATGAGTGAAATAAACAAGAATGTCTTTCTAAGAAATAAATTCTTAAGAAGGATGCAGAGGGGCCTTATTGATTTTTAGACTTGAACCTTCTCCTCTTCACCTCTTAGTCTGTGTCAGGTGAGGAAATACCTTGTTGAGTAGGTAAAAGGAGAGTCCATTCATTTGAAGTGAGAGAGTGAAGAGCAGTGAATGAGGCCTTGTGGCTCTGAGGGTTTTGCATGCCCATCATCCCATTCCCTGGACCTGCCAATTCCTGGTCCTATGAGGGTTCAAATTTGTATTGTTGGCTCATTTCCTCTTCAGGTTAACAAATGGATAGAGGGTTGGGGGAAGAGGATTTTCCTATAAAGATCCCCAAGTCTCCTTCCTGGTTGCCTTGTGCTCCTTTGGGGAAAGTATGGTGACTGCCATTCAGGGATCATGTTGCCCTAGAACTGGAGGAGTTGCAGTCCTCTCCCTAATAAGTTCATCATCTCAGCCAGCCATTTGGCTTGTAAGGATGACACTTGCCTTCCCTTCTCTAGGGGTCATGGCTTGTGTCATAGTCAGTGGTGAGGACGAAGTGGTGAATGTGAAGTGGAAGAAGGGACTTTCCTCCTTCCCCATCACTCACTTGTGTTCATCCCCTTCATTGTAGATGGGAGCTGGAGGGGCCATCACAGGAATGAAGTTTAACCCTTTTAACCCTAGTCAGCTGTACACATCGTCAATTGCCGGCACTACCACCCTGCAGGATTTTAATGGCAGTACGCTCCGGGTCTTCACCAGCACCGAGGACTGGGAGTAAGAAACGTGGCAATTTTCTGGGCCTCTGCATCCTGCTGGCAGGGCAGCACAGAGAGGGAGCTTTATTTGTCTCTCGAACATGAGAGCTAGGCTCTGCTCTTCCCTACATCCGCCTCTTTTGTTGAATTCTGGAGTCTGTCTGTTTTGGGAGCTTCTTTCCTCTTGTTTTCCCTGTGCGGGTGTAGGGGAAAGGGATTGAATACTGACTTCTCTTTTTCCCCATCCAGGTGAAAGAGTGATCTTCCACACTTACTTTTTCCTGTTCTTCTGGGGGTACCAGTAGAACTCTTCAGGCTTATGTCTTTACACCTCCCATATCCTGTGCAGCACGCATATAGAATTGGAAGGTGTCACTGGGTCACCAAGTCCAGATCCCTGTGTTTCCAAAAGGATGCACAGGAATATCAGCTCTGACATCACCCTAGCCCTGGTGACCTGACCTCTCTGAAGAGCCCTCTGAGGAGTTCCTTTAATATTACTGCAAACCCTGTTGGCTTGGGAAGTTAGACATTAATTTTAGAAATGGGCCCACAGTGTCAGCACACCCATCCCCTTTTACCCTCTCTGTTTTCTTTCCCTGCCTACTTCCTTCCAGTAGCATGTGACCCAGCCAGTTCTCAAAGTGGCTATTCCAGCTGCAGCCCTCCTTAGGGAGGGGTGCGGGGCTGCGCTGCAGAGGTCCACTGACACTTCTCCATGCTGGAGCCCAAATTCGGTGCTCAGCTGCCTCCCCCGGATCAGCAGAAGCTGTGGGATTTGATGGACATGACATGGGCTTTTTATCCCACTATCAAATCTGTTGTGGATCAAGATGATGATGACTGGGTCTGAAGGGGATGCTTCTTCCAGATGTCATTACTCTGAGGCAAACTGGGGCCTATTGAGGGCTTCTTCACTGGTTTCTTGAAAGTTAGTATTGAAGCACATTACTTGGTACAAAGCGGCTTTATGAGCAGCTGATGAACCACCGTGGAGTCCCAAGGGGTTTGTATCACCCAGTTAGCACCTTTCACTTTTCTCTCTTCCTCTGTTTTGTGTGTAGCGATTAAACCTGTTGGCTCAATAGAGAAGGGCTGGGGGGCGAGTCCTGGAGGACAATTTCAGTTCCATGCAGTTAGTAGTAGGGGTTTCTCCCTCCAAAGCTGTCATCGTCCCTGCTGCTGACACCTTGGGAAAGACCAGCCATGATGCACTAGACGCAGCTGCAAGAGGTGTTGAGGCAAAGACAGTGAAGGAAGAGCCTCGTGCACAGCTGCTGTGGGGTGTCTTCTGGTTCTGCGTGGAATATTTCTTGCGATCCTGTGCTCCTAGGTATAGGTTAGTCCTAAGTGTAGTTATCAAAGCTATGCCTTGTGATTGGAGGTGGGAGAAGCAGTGCTACTGAAAGGAATATGCCTTGTTTGGGAAGATGGCTATGTCGATTTTGCAGGTCCAGAGTGTGTGTGCTGTCAGATCAGGACCAAGCTATATAGAACTTCAGTCCTGCAGCTGTTGGGAAACAAACTCCATTAAATTGGTATGTCTCACTTAAGCAGCAGAGAGCTCTGTTCCAGATGATCAGTCTTTTACTGTGATCCTCCCTTCTCCAGGAACCTTTGTGCCCATTGTTTTGTCTGTGTGTTCCAGAAGGAGCCAGGAAATTCTCTTGGAAGCATTAAGTTTGGGCCCTTTGAGGTAGTAAAGCTTTATGTGGCATCAGAGGATGACACCTTAAGTCTGTAAGACAAGGAAGGCAGAATGGCACAGGGGATCTCCTGTGCCCTGGGTTGTGGCCATGAGTACCATGACATTTAGTGAGAAGGGCAGGATTGTTCCTCAATTCCTTTGCATTGACAGTGCAGTCCCTCTTTTACTCTTTGAGAGCCTGGATATACATATACTGGGGGATGGGGAGTGATTGTTTAGGCTGCAGTACTGCAGAGAAGGACTTGGGGGTTGCAATAGACCAGAAGGTGAATATGAGTCAACAGTGTGCTCTTGTTTTAAAAAAAGCCAGCATCCAGGGTTGTATTAGCAGGAGTGTCACTTGCAAATCAAGGAAGGTGATTCTCCCACTCTGTTCAGCACTGGTGAGGCCTCACCTGGAGTATGGTGTCTAGTTTTGAGCCCCACACTTCAAGAAGGATGTGGACAGATTGGAAAGAGTTCAGTGCAGAGCAACAAAAATGGTTAGGGGCCTGGGAAGCAAGATGTATAAGGAAAGGCTGAAAGAATTCAGGTTGTTTAGTCTGGAGAAGAGAAGACTGAGAGGGGATTTTATAAGTCTTCAACTACTTGACAGGTGATAATAGAGAGGATGGAGATGGGCTTTTCTCTGTAGCCGTAGGATTAGGATTTTGAAGATTAGGAGGAACTTTCTGACTATGAGGGCAGTCAAACTTTGGAACTGGCTACCTAGAAGAGCTGTGGCATCTTCACCCCTGGACATTTTCAAGAGCAGGTTGGACAGATACTTGACTGGGAAGGTTTAGTCAGGGATGATCATACCTTGAGCATGGGCTCAACTACATGACCTTGTGAGATCCCTTCCAGCCCTGCTTTCCTATGCTTCTATGATGTAAAAAAAAAAAGGGAGTCAAGTTGCCAGTTGTTCTCAACCTTTTTGGACTCAAAAAGGTCTGAAAAGGTGTAACAGGCATCCCTGGTTACACTTAAGACATTCCTTAGAAAATGTCAGCTTAGATTTCACTTTTTTGCTGCAGAAAAAGAGCAATCTTTCTCTTGCAAAGAACTCAAAGCTCACAGCAGAGCAAGATGTCTAGTATAAGCATCTTCTGCAGGTGAAGTTTTTTGAAAACTAGTTGTCAGATGCTAAAGAATTCACTCGTATTCCTAACCAGTATAGCTTGGGTTGAGAGACCAGGCCCCCAGGCATCTGTCTAATAAGACTGTGTTCAGTTCCTGGAGTGCTAAAATGGAAGCAAATTAAGATGGAAAGTTTTCAGCCCAGAAACTCTACAGCATCTTTACCTCTTTGTGGGGGAGTCTCATTTTAAACTATTTCTGCACATGGTAAATGCCCTACATATAGTCCTGATCTTTCCCAAGCTGTGTCTATGTGCAGGTGCCAAGTGACCATACAGTTTCAGCTGCATCCCACTACCACAGCACCTTTCCCATCCTCTTAAGGTTACTTGGCAGAAATGATACACATAGTCACCAAGTTGATGATGCCTTGGTGAACTTTCCCTGGCCCAGTTGTTCAGTCTTTTGCAACCTCACTCTACAGAGAGTCAGGGAGGGTGTAAACTGGGGCATCCCTCACCTTCCCTGACTGCAGGAGGCAGCGCTGACCTCTCTGCTTTTCCTTCTAGTTTCTGGTATTGCAGTGTTGATGTGTCTGCAAGCTGCCGGTCTGTGGTGACAGGTGATAACGTGGGTAACGTGGTCCTGCTCAGCACTGGTGGTGATGAGGTTTGTATGGCTCTCTGCATTTTCCCTTTTCTGGAGACACTGATGGTTTATATATTCTTTGTGCAAAAAATAAACAGTCCTTGCTGCAAGATGGGGGGAAGGGGAGGGAGCAAGAAGGACCCTGCACTTCAGGGAATTTTTTTCCATCTGCTGTGCTGCCTCTCCCTGCTCTCAAGATGAGTTCACTGGAAATCTCCCAAACAGTGATTCTAAATTAGGCACTACATGGTGAGGTTCCCCCCCGCCCTGAGTGGCTGTTGGTAAGAACAGTATTAGAGGCATCCTGTAGACAAAAGGCCTCTGGCAATGGGGTACACACTGCAGAAAGTTCCCTGGAGAATTGTAGTGGAATGGAGCCAGTTAGAGCAGCATCCAGCCTTGGGATTCCCAGTTCCAAGGTTCAACTGGCAAAGGTCAGGAGGACAGAAACTGCACTGTCTTTCTGCCTGAGCAAGCACACTGCCACTGCCAGGATCTGAAACTGGAAAGCTGCTTAGAGCCCAGGGTGGGAACTTCTCTAAGAGTGGACCCTGCCTGCAAGACTGCCCTTTTGCTGTTACTGCATAATGACTCATTACTCATCACTGCTCCAGCTTGCAGGGGTGACAGGTCTGGGCCTGGGCCACCCCAAGAGCTATAGGCACTGTGGCTGTCAGTCGGGGGACAGTGTCACCAGCTAAGGCACTGGCTTTGCATACTGTCAAGGTAACTCCGATTAATCCAATGGGTAGGATACTCACTTGGGTAGAGGGAAGACCCAGGTTCAAGTCCAGGCATGGACTGATACTGCAGTCATGTCTTAGTGGGAGTCTTCATGAAGAGACTGGAGAAGCACCTGGCTGGGGTCACATGACCCCAGCACTTTTTCCTGCCACTGGCAGGGGGTCGGACTTGATGATCCATTGAGGTCTCTTCCGACTCTAGCATCTATGAATCTGTAAGGTCAGACCCACCGTGGTAGCTTGCATTATTTTTTCCCCTTTCCTAAATATAGATGGTCAGTTCATTCCTGTGGGATTTGCAGTGCTAGCCAGCACTGCCCATCTCCCCCAGCCTCTAGAACCTTTTGAATTAACAGCATCACCCTGTATCCAGGAGATGAGTGCTCCATTCTCCAATGTCTAGATCCCTTAGACTATCTGTACCAAAGCAGTGCTGAATGGCTCTTGTTCTGGCAGGCATTGTATCTACCTGCTCTGTATTTCCTATATGCATCTCATATTCTGTTTCCTCCACTGCAGATTTGGAAGCTGAAATTACACAAAAAGAAAGTAACTCATGTGGAGTTTAACTCTCGCTGCGATTGGCTCTTAGCCACAGCCTCTGTGGACCAGACAGTCAAAATCTGGGACCTCAGGAACATCAAAGACAAGACAAGTTTCCTTCATGTGCTTCCTCATGACAAACCTGTCAATGCTGGTAGGTCAGTGAGGTAGGGCTCTCTGCTCTGTGTGCTTTGCTGATCTGCCTGTCCAGTCTGTGTATCTGTCTGTCTTAGTCTCTTTTTTGCCCTGGTTCCATATCTCTTGCCTTTGGGGCCACACTTTCCCTACCACAGGTATGTAAGTATCAATCTGCTATTTCAGCCATCTTCTTCTATGTGTGAACTGAAAAATTAAGTTTGCACCAAAATTGTTTAATCTTACCACGTTCAGATAAGAAAGAACCCCCATTTACTGGGTCAGACCACAGGTCCATGTTGTCCAGTAACCTATGTCACAGAGTGACAGAAAGTAGATGCTGAAAGGGAGAGTGAACAGGGTATGACCAGGGTTTTTTCCACTGTTCCTCTCCCACTTGCTGCCTCCAGCATTTAAGGTCTAGATTTCATCATATCTAGATATTATGTAATTTAAAAAATTTTAGGCATTGATAAAAGTCTTGTAGGAAAGTGCTGGTGCCACTTCAGTCTTATTGATTTCTGGCTAAATCGTCCCGAACAATTGACACCAGTAGATACGCTGTTCTTCTGTTTAAGAAGATAATTGTCCTCTGATATTCTTGCAGTGATGCCTCTGAGTGCTCACTGTGAAATTACTGAAGGTTTCTAAAGTTGGGGAATGGAATTCATCTGAGGCAGTCAAGATGTTCCTCATCTTCTGGTGCTGAAGTTCCAATGCTGGAAGCGGGGGCTGGGAATCGAGATTCCTCTAGTTCTGTCCCTAGCATTGGAAGGGAATGTGGTGTAGCTGGGCAGTGGAAGTGAGAACAGTCTGGTTCTGTTTCTAGCTCTTCCAGTGACTTGCCCTGTGACCTTGGGCGAGCTTGTTTCCTGCTCAGTGTCTGTTTCTTCCGCTATAAAATGATAATGATACTTCCATAGGCAGTAGAAAGGAGGGGGTAATGGGGCTTAGCTCCCACAAATGTGGGGCAGTGGCAGGGCTACCAGGCAGCTGCAGACTTCCGGTGGCTGCAGCACGGGTGGGGAGGGAGTGAGGCTGGGGCGGGCACTGTGGAGCCAGTGGGGCTTGGGACTGAGCTGCAAGCGGCTTGTCCAGGGGGCACAGCTCCTGCTGCTACACACACCCCAGGAGGCACGGGGTCATGTGCCCTCAGATCTGTGTGGGGCAGTGTGGGCTCCTGCTTGCTGTGAGCTGGGGCCAGGGTTGTGCCAGGCTCTACCAGGTGAGGGGAGGAGGGGAGGTGCAGGGGTTGGGCCGGCTGCACTTGGGGTGGGTGGTGGCAGCCCTGGGAGAAGGGCTGGGGGCAGGGAGGACAGGCCACCCCAAAATTCGCTTTAGCCCCCGCTCCCAGCTCTGCTGCCCATCCCAAGTGCAGCCTGGCCCAAGCCCTCCACTGGGAAGAGCCTGGCACAGCCCTGGCCCAAGCCCCTGCAGCGGCTGCCTGCCCTCACCCTGCATGCAAATCCGGGGCTCACTCCTCCCATGCCTCCTGGAGTGCATGCAGTGCAGGAGCCGCCACCCCCTCCAGGTGCCCCCTCCCCCAGACAAACCACTCACCACAGCTCCGTCCCTTGCCCTGCCCTGGCTGTGCAGGTGAGGGCCTTGATCTGCTCCCCCCACACCCCTTTCCCCTCCCCACACCCCTTCCTCAACAAAACTTACCTGCTGGGGGGACATGCACAGATGTGTGCACACTCAACCCTCCCAAAATAATTTTTCTTCCTCCACCTATGGATACTTCCCTGACATGCTCACGCCGTAACTTTTCAGGTTTTGAACTTCTTCAGTGAAAAAGTACTTGACAAGGGCAGAGCCTTTTCTGTTGGGGCACATGTCCTTTTTAATAACTATTTAAGACATTTTTACAAGTTTCCCAATTAGGCCTCTTGGCTTTTAAATCTCCTTTCTCTGTACCTGTGGGATTGTGACCTCTCATCTGTCTTGTTGCCCTTTCCCAGCTTACTTCAGCCCAACAGATGGTGCCAAACTCTTGAGCACAGACCAACACAGTGAAATCAGAGTCTACTCCTCTTCAGATTGGACCAAACCACAGCACCTGATCCCACATCCACATCGGCAGTTCCAGCACCTCACACCAATCAAGGTAATGTAAGCAAGTGGAACCTGAGAAGGCATTTTCTTAACATGCTTCTAGCATCAGGTGCAAAAAAAATGCAATGGTATAATTTCTGTCCAAGATAGGGCACTGCATTGTGGTTGCTTACAGCGTTCTTCTGGAATTGTTTACCCACCATCTCTTTGCTTTGTGTTTAGGCAACGTGGCATCCTCGTTATGACCTCATTGTGGCAGGTCGTTACCCAGACCCCAAGTTCCCCAGCTACACTGTGGATGAACTGCGAACTGTTGATATATTTGATGGAAACACTGGGGAGATGGTGTGCCAGCTCCATGACCCCAATGCTTCTGGCATTATTTCAGTGAGTATGGACACTGAAGCTGAAAGGGCCACTATGCTAGCAAGATAAATGGAGGAGGAGATTAAGCTGGGAATCATCTCCTCCATTACTGCAGGTGCTCCTCCAGGAGGAGGCTTGATGGCAGTGTGTGGTGGGAGAAACATTCTGACCTAGCCACATGGGAGAACAGTTCAGGAAGTGTTTGTCATGACTTACAGTGGCACAGAACATCTACCATAGGAGCAGTCTCCTAAGAGAGAGTCCTGGTCAAGGGTTCATGCAAGAGATGCCTTAGATCAGTGGTTTTCAAACTGTTTTGTGGAACAGTGGGATTCTGTAGTTGGTCTTCAGGGGTTCCACAGAGAGATTGGGAGTAATGGCAGAGCGGGTCGGGTGGCAATGTGCTGCCATTGCCTGGCCAGGCTGCCCAACTGCATCAGTCTTTAGAATAGGGGTTCCATGGCAGAAGAAGTGCTATGAAAGTGTTCTGTGACTTTAGCAAATTTTAAAACCATTGCCCTAGCTGCTACCTCTGTGCCTGAGATCTAGCCCTTTCCTGGCCACGTGCATTGGAGCCACTGTGAATTACCCTGTCAGGGGTGGGGAGAAGCAGAGTGGGAGTATGGTTACAAGTCATCTGCACAACTTACAGCTCTTGCATCAGGTTTTGATGACCTGATCCTCCAGCTTCTCCCACTGAGTGGAAGGGCATGCCAATCTTGTCAGCACGCTCAGCTCCCAAGCACAGGGTCTTACCTCTTCTGTCTCTGTAGAGAAGCTGAGCAGAGAGGAGAGAGTATGGGCCAGATTTGCCTCACCTTTACTGCAGTTTTACATGATTACTGCATTGGCATCAATATTGTTACTCCTGATTTATGCCAGCATGATGGGTGGATCTGGCCTACTGACTGAAGCCTATTGGCCAAACCACTGCCCCAGGCAGATGGGGTGTAAACCACGTGAACCTAAATGGCTGAGCTGTGCAGAGTGGATTCACGCTTAGTCAGGGTCCTTTCTGCAGGTTTTGTAGGGAATGGGATTGTTTGATGTTGTTAGAGAAACAGTGACACTCTTACAGTTTGTCATTTTGTTTCTATCTGCAGCTTAATAAGTTTAATCCTATGGGAGACACACTGGCCTCTGGCATGGGTAAGTGATGTGGCAGGGGGCGGTCTCTGGCTTCTCTTTCTCCTTACAGGGACACTTGGGATAGTGGGTTCTGGTCCCAAAGAGGGCAGACTGGATTCTCCAAATAGGGATGTGTTAGGAGGGAAGGGCCCCAGGAAGCTAAAAAGAGCTCTGCCATTAACATTTGCAGTGGCTTAATTCATTCGTTTATGAAACTGGTAAAGATGCACCTCAGTATTCCTTACTCCTGCCTTCCTGAGGATTAATCAGTTGCTACCAAATTGCTTTGCAAACATCTGCTGAAGTGGGAATTGTGATTAGCAGGGATCCTGGTTTTCCCTGATAAAAAAAAATCTCAAATTCTCTGATAAAAAATTACAAGTCCTCTGATAAAATGCCCTGAAATCCATGATTAAAATGAAAGCCCCCCCTGGCCCTGTTTGTGCCCTTACTCCTCCCCCACAGGCCCCCCAATCCTGCTGGTGCCCCTTAGTTCCCCCCCAGCCCTGCTTGTGTCCCTCACCCTCCTCACAGCCTCCCCCAGACCTGCTGGTGCCCCTCACTTCCTGCCCCCTCCCCCAAACCTCTGTCTTGCTCATGCCCCTCATTTCCCCCCACAGCCCCTGCTCCCCAGCCCTGCTGGAGGGGACCTCCAGCTGCCAGGGCCAGGGACCTGGGTCCACAGCCCCCTGCCCTTGGCAGGAGACGGCAGCTACTGCAGCAGATCAGAGCCCGGCTCCCCTGCTTCTACTGCCTACCTGCTGCAGGCTCAGGTGTGGAGGTGGCTCCTTGCAGCTGTGTGCGCTATGGGGAGGTAGGGGGGACCCGTGCCCCCCCAGATCTGTGCATGGGGTGGGGGCGGGGCTGGTTGCCTGCTGCGGGCTTGGGCTCCTCATCTTGCTGCCCTCCCCCAGGGCCTCTGCAGCCTGGTGGATGCGACCTGGCACTGCAGGGAACAGTGGGGCTGTGCCCAAAAGCTGCTTGTCGTTGCGAGCTGTGCACTGCCCTGGTGATGCGTCCCCTGCTCATGCGGCAGGAGCAGCAGTGTGGGGTTGTACCCCTCACTGGTGCCACATGGGCAGGGGATACATCACCAGGGCACTGCAGAGCTTGCAGCGGTAAGCAGCTTTCCTGCACATCCCCACTCTGCTCTGCAGTGCCAGGTCCCACCCACCAGGCTACAGAGGCCCTGGGGGAAGGCAGCAGGGCAGGAGCCTGAGCCCACAGGAGGCAGCCCTTGTCCCGTGCACAGATCTGGGGGGCATGGGTCTCCATTGCCCCCAAGTGCATGCAGCAGCAGGGAGCCAGCCCCCTGCCATGCTTTAGATTGAAAGGTCCCCCAGTTTGGCCTGCTTGGGCATCTCTAGGACCTGGGAAAGCTGGTCCTACTATGGTGTGTTTCTCACTCATGGCAGAATCTTTGGTAGAACAGCTCTTTCTGTGGAGAGGCTTGGAACTAGGCAATTGTTTACATCTCCTAACTTTTAGGTACTGCCCCAAGATTTCCCATGGCCAGGTATGTGAGACTTACAATGGGGTTCTGTGAAGGGAAGATCAGGAATGAAGAGATACCATCTTTGGTGATTGGGAAGCATCCAGAAAAGACACTTCTTGCTTATGTTGTGTAGTGTCTTGCCAAATGTTTAACTGACATAGATGGTGACTTCCCCCAAGAGGACGTAAAGCCCCATCAGTATTTCTGAGGGTACACGTTGACTTTTTTTTCTCAATAGGTTTTAATATTTTGATCTGGAGTCGGGAGGAGATGGTGGCCAAGAAGCAGGAACACCTCTTGAAAGCCATGACAGAGCAGGGGATTGGAGGCAGGAGCTCCTCCAAACGTGGGGGGCAGAGACAACCAAATCAAGGAAAAAGCAAACTCAAAGCCAAGCTGCTTGCTCAGGAACTGGAAGAGACTAAAACAAAGGGCAAAAATACCAAATCACAGGGCAGAAAGCAGAAGAAGGATCTAGAGGATTGATCAGATAAAGCTGTTACTGACACAGTGAGCAAGAGTGCCCTGCAGGTACTAGCTTTCTGCTATGTCCTTCCTCCCTGAGTGCTACGTTGCTTCCCTTATTCTCTCATTTCCCCCTTGAAGGGATGGTGTCACTGCCCAGCTTCTCCTGTAGAGGGCATGACACACACACTTTTATCACTTCTATCAAGCATTGTAGGAGCCAGAACATCATGCTGTATGCTAGCATTCATTGCAGGAACCAGAAAAGAGCATTCTTGTACTTATGCTTGAGGCCTACTCTTTACCAGTCTTGCAGAATGTGAGGCCAATGTGGAACGGCCAGGGCTGAGATGTGGCCCTGCTAATGCTGTAGTTCATGTTTTCAGAGTTTTAGTTGCTTTGTTCATTCCAGTTCTTCCAAATGTGGGGCTAAATGTTCCCAAAACAGAACCTGAGGATTCTCTTCCCACATCCTTTCTCTTAGTCCCACACCTCAGGGCTGCTGTCAACCTGAAAGATTTTAAGGTTTAAAGTTTGTGTTTACAAAGCTGCCAAGGGACAGTGTGTACCCCCAAAGACTGCTGGCTGTGGCCCTGGCTTGGGCCCTGCTGGGATTTTTTGTTCATAATATTGAAGAATTAATAAACATTTTGTACCATACAGAGCTTCTTCTAAGGGAGAAGAAGGGGCCGTTGTTTTTTCTGGAGCCTATACCACCAGAGATGTGATAGGCATTTACATAGATGGTCCTTCTACAAAGGTTTCTTGTAAAAGAACATAGAAGACTTTCAGTCTTGAATATGTTAGGTACTAGGAGCCAAAACCAGTGTTAATTTTGTGCCCATCTTATTTAGGATCATTCTATGGGTGTGCTGGTTAATAAGGGTTCTGACCCATCCTTCCCTCTCTCCCTCACACCCAGTTCCCCATCACCTCCCTGCTGCCTCTCCCACCCAATCTTCATGCTTTGAAAAGGAGTCCATTGCAATAGACTCCACAAATGTCTGACTATGAAGAGATAACAGGCCTGTGAATGAACACAAAGGAAAAGGAGCATCAGAAGCTGAGTCCCAGATTGATTTTAATGCACAAGAGGAGGGGTGGAAATAACAGAATAGAATTACAGAAACTCATTCACAAAGTCTTAATCACTATAGAAACCTCTCTTTCATTTGTGCAAAATCTTTTGGATTAAAAAAATAGGCTTGGCTGCCTCTAATGCACTTCCTTTTACCTCTCTTCCTCGTGCCTGTTCCTGTGAGCAGCTGCTTGTTCTTTGTCACTGTCTTGACTGGCAGGTGACCTATGTTTACATCCCTAATAAGGCGAGAAATAGGTGAGGGAGTTGCTGAGAGCAGCAGACAGCTTCTGCTGAGAGAGTTCCCATGCTGGCAACAGCCTGTTATGCTGAGGGAAAAAGCCCCATGATCCACAGTAGGGGAAGAAAAGGAAGCGCCTGTAATCGGAGTACTGGCCTCTGTCGCCAAGAAGGGAAGAGAACTGGACCAGAAAGGGAACTAAAACTGGGAAGTGAATGTGCAGCATCACCATGTAAAAAGCCAGTGCCTCTGGTGCCTGCTGCAGCCTCTCATCCTTTGCCAGAAACCACAGAATAGGAAGTGGCAGGCAAGGTGACAAGGGCTTAGTATAATATTCCCAGCGCCCACTGCAGCATTCAAAGATGCTTGCTGCTTCCACCCAAGTAGCAGAGATATGCTCACTCTTTAGCATCCCTTCTGAAAGAAGATCCAAACCCTGGCACATGAACAACAGCCTCAGCAATGGGGAGAAAACTGGTGGAGGTGGTGTCCATTCTGATTTTGGAAGCAGACTTTTCTGCTACGTGGCCTTAGAGTGCTGCGTAATACTTTCTGCCTGCAATGCACATTCTTTGGGCCTATAGCCAACCTCTGCCCACAGTGTGGTACAGGGAGTATTGCCAGTTCCTCCTAAAGAGGCTGTAGCTATACATACCCAGAGGAATCTAGAGCAGTCAGCTCAAAGGCTGTAGCTTTAAAAAGGGCTTAATAATTTCATAACCACAAGCAACTGTAGCTCTGCAGGACAGCATTATGAAGGTAATCAAAGCTCCTGGCCCAGGGAACAGGCAGGGCACTTTCTCCTTTGTGTAACATTGCACAACAGGGCTGGGTGTGTGACAGCTTGGAAAGATCCCAAATTGGGCATCACAGGTTAATTCACCTGGCAAAGCCTCTGTCAAGTTTGGACATGTCCAGCCTACCCTGGCAATGAACTTTGGACCCAATGTCAGGTTTACAGGCCTGCCCTGACTTAAGGCTGGTTTTTCACTCTTGATATAGAATAAGGGAGGGGGAAAGTGACCAGATGCTAGCACCAATCAAGTAGCAAAGACAGGAATGATTTAATCAAGTATTCCTAATTTGCCTGTGATCTCCAGCAGCTCAGAGTGCCTAGAGAGCAGGTGAGGATTCAGTCCCTAACCAGCTGGGGCTCTGGCCCAGGCCCAGCCTTTCCATTGCCTTGAGCCACTAGGCTGATTACAATATACACAAAAATTGACCTAAAAGAACAAGGCAGTTCCTGACTGAGCAGGAGATCACAGCTTTTTGGAGAGATCCGGCTCCTTTGTTGCAGTCTGGGTGAGTGGTAAAGTTTACAATCATTAGAAGGAAAAAGTCTTCCTGAGATGCAATGCCCTGGCTGGCCAAACTGGGTAGAAGGGGAGTCCTTGAGTGGTGGTACTGAATTGGAATTGGGGATTCCATATAGCACACCACGTTCGGGAGAGGATATTTTATTTCTTTGAAGTCAGCCCACCTGTGGCACTTCACCTTCTGCAAACATCATGTTTAGTTTTAGGAGCAGCCAGGTTCTGTCAAAGTCTTGTCAAAGCCCAGCTTCAGTCTGGGGAGCAATGGTCAGAGCTGAAGAATGCTCAATCACTGAAGGACATCCACTCATCCTTGGGAACAGCACTGCTCCCTCCTGCTGCATGAGGAGAGGTTGGAGTGACTGTCATGCCTGCTCTTCTCCCTCATTGGAAACATGCCGGTAGCCAGGAGGCTGTGACTGCATGCGGAAGAGGACAGTCAGCAAGAGGATTATCAGGAGGAAGAGGATGGATCCACAGACAGCTAGAGCCACAATCAGTTCTGCAAGGAGAAAGCAAGAAGTCAGCACAGTGGCACACAAGCTCTCATTTTTCTATTATTCCACAGACCATACAGCACTCACTTGTGTCCTGGACATTGCTTGCTATCTGGCATTCCTGCTCCCAGTCTTGGGGAATGACTGGGTCTGTGAGTCGCAGAAAATCCCCCAGGGGGCAGCGCTGTGGGCAGCCAGGCAGCGTCAGAGGGAAAGGCTCCTTCCCACTTTCATTCCGGAAAAACATCTCTACAGAAAAGTTGCTGTAAACAGAACAGACATACAAGTGGTACCTTCCCTTGGCTGGAACTATCCCTGCCATGACCATCAAGTGCCCACCTCTTTCCATCATCCTTTTTGCACTCTATAAAGGTAACTACCTTTTACTCACTGTTCTGGTAAAGTTGCACCCAGATACTTGGCAGGGTTAGGTTCCTAACCCCCCTACAAAGGTGAAGGTTTGTGAAGTAACTGAGGGTATACACAGCTGTAGCAAATAGCTACACAGGACTGCTAAGCCACTCCAGCTGTTTGCTGTGGCTTTTATTTTAAAAGGCACCATTTCTCTGATCAGTCATGTGGGACAACTGATCAGCTCCAGTTTATCAGAGAAGTGGCACCATCCGAAATAAAAGTGGCAGCAAAGAGCTGGGTGGGTGTACTGTGTACTGGTATTTCCCATCTCTTTTTCTCTTCCCTACTTGGGGGCAAGGCAGGGGGTGCCACCATGAAGTTGGAGTCTAGCCTACATGTTTAACCTTTGGGATGAAGCTGATGCCCTTTTGGTAGCCCTCACCCATCATCCTCCTCGTACAGCTCAAATATGTGACATGAGGCATATGGTGCTTGCACCCTGTTGTACACATCCAGAGCCATCTGCAGTGCCACGAGTGTGGTGTCATGCTGAGGAAGAAACAGAACACATGAATCATCCCTCACAAATAAGAAAGGACACCTGGGACGACATCCATAAAGAAAGAGCCTCAAAAGGGACCACAGGTTGTGCTGGGCATGGGGGAGCTAACTCAGAACCATATCAGAGAAGGGAAAGCCTGTGCATTCCCATGCTCTGATGACTCAGAGAAAGGGGAGAGGAACAATGATGCTAATATGGTGACTCTGGTACAGAAGACTGTACCAGGAAAAAGGAAGAATGAGATGCAGCTGTACATACCAGCCTACCCTATTCCCCAGGGGTCAGCCTTTAGGGACCACTTTGATTGCAACTCTGGAAAAGATGCTGGACATTCCAGCTCATCAGGTGGCTGGAGGGAAATAAGTGTCTGAATCCATCACCTGCTGAGATGCCACACTGGAAAAGCCCCCACCCAATTACCAAAGCTGGGGAGTAGTAACCCCCAAGCCCATCTTTCTGCCTGTGGCTCAGCTATGTCGAGGGAGGTATACAGAAGGGCCACTTTCTAGTAGTCTACAGCAGACCCAGCAACAGGCAGAGCTATGTCTCTTGGATATGGTAGACAGAGACTACATGGAAAGACAGGAAGGTTCAACACCACTATCAAGGCTCAAACCTATAGCAGATGGGAAGAATGGACAAGGGCAGCTCCCACATTCTGACTTACCGCTGAGTAGGCAAGCAGTTTCAGGTGCCGAGGTGCGGAGGTATTTGTTGCTAAAGTCAAGTTTTTCCTAATCTGAGCTAGCAGGACCCCTGAGGAACAAGAATGGCTGATTAGACCCTAAAGCTAGATTGGGCAGCAGGAGAGTCCTACCCTGCCCCACCTCCTTCTCATCTCGTCCACTCACCGCCTTGCAGACGAGCTTTCTCCACTCGATCCTGGATCCCAAACAGGTATTCAAAGCCAAAGTCTTTTAGTTGTTTCAGCTGAACCATAACCTCTGATGTCACCCATGGTGGTAGCATCATCTTATGTGCTTGCTAGAAAGTAATGGGATAGTAATGGGAATGGTCACTGTTTTTAGAGAAGCATAGGGACTAATAGTAATACTAAAAACCAGGGACTGTGTTTCTGTATAAACACAGCTGGTGTATAGAGTGAGTCCAAGAGACATCTATTTTATGTGGGGCTGATTCTGACTTCTTGAGACTACACAGAGCCAGAAATAAAAATGCAAAGTACAAGAACATGAAAGAATCAAAGCTACTACAGGCAGGGAAGATCAGGGCCACTAGCAGAGTGCTAGTGCTCAGTGGCAGTCACTGCATCCAGGAGAGGGGCCTAATAACCTCCATGGTAAGAACATGGGGAGCAGGGAGGCACGGAAAGAGTCTGCTTTGTACACAGCCAGCATACATGGATAGATGGATGAACTGCAGCAGAAGGTAAACAGGTCAACAACTCTCCTGTGTCACGTTTCTAGAGCATGTGCCAATATATTGCAAGAGGAACTATGCGGAATACTTTTAGATCTATTCACCACTGCTTAGATCAGGTACCTGTCAGCAGCCTGGGAAGTAAATTTGCTTCTGCATTCATTTACTAAGCAGTCAGGAAATTCTCGTTTTGGAGCTTTTTGTTGGTTTGAGCTAGTGGGGGGAGGGGCAGGGGAATCTCCTGCCTCAGCTTTGAAAAAAGACAGCCTTACTCAGCAAAGTCTTTCCCTTATAGTGTTGCTTGTGAGAGTTAGAAAGAAGTGAAGCTCTAAGTAACTAAGGAAAATCCCTAGTCTCCAGTACAGTCCTGCTGTACCAATGTAGGGAGGAGCTTTCCTTCAGGGTGCCCCCATTTCTTTATTTGCCAAGGAGATGCTCTTTGAATTCTAGATCCTTTACATCCAAAGAAAGTTTAAGCAGGTTGTTAACAAGGAGGACTTTTGCAGAAGAACAGAGCTGCAAGCCACTAGTGTTTCTGCCATTGGAATTTATTTGTTAGTAACTGTAGTTTCATCAACATTCCTTCATGACAGCAGGACTCATGCCAATAAGGAGGTCTGAAACAATCAAGGAATGGCAAGAGCCACTACTACACTACTATGTGCTTTGCCCAAAAGGACAAACAAGATGACAGAAACCAAAGGCTTAATGCAACAAACAATCTAAAGGGAATCTTTGAGTCTAGAAGGGGCAGACCTTTGCTGTTAATAAATAATGGTGAAACTCATACTATTCAGTTAAATTAATTGATGAGCTGACAAAGGGAGGTTTAGCGCAGAGTACTTAGAAAGATGTTATTTTGTAGTATTTAGATACTCAGGTAATTTGATGGTCTGGGTCTTGCCAAAACCTGAAGCTATTCTGCTTTGTGTTTGTTTATGCGTAGGCAAACCCTTAAGGTTTTGACCAACTGTAGTGATCAAACAAGGATCCTATCTATGTTGTGGAGCTGCTAGTCATGGTTCCTGAGTTAGGGAAGCTGAATTTTGCACTCAAAGCGAACAAAACAATTCTGCTGTGTGAAGCAGGAGGATCTCCTTCCCAGGATCAGAGCTCTCCATCATTATCAGTACACAAACTTGCAGTTTAAATAAGAAAGTGCGTCTTTAAATGGATTTATTTATTTATTTATTATTGTTTGGTTTGGTATTTAACCCTTTATTATTGCTGTATGCTTTCAACCTTAACTCCCATCTTAACATGATTTTTGTTTGGGAAGTATTCAAAAGATAATAGTGCACTCTTTTTTAAGGCCTTCCTGAGTGAGAGGGTCTCAAAACATTTTACAAACAATGACGACTTAAACCTGATAGCCTCCTGCAATCTGGGGGAAGAGTTAATCCTTAACAGGTGGGAAAGTAGAGGCATGGGACAGGAAGTGAATGGCCCAAAGTAGCAGAGAGAGGGGCAGACACAAGAATATTACCTGGGAGCTTTTAATGATTTGAGCAGGGAACCAAAAGAAAAAGCCAGGATGGATTTTAGACTTTAACTCAAGCTTGCCCATAGAGAAGTAACCATTTGGGACTGCAGTAACTTCTGTTAGAGATGTTTATTTCTTATGGCCCCAGTGCAGCCTCTGAACCATGCAGCAAGAGGCTGTGTTTCTGATGTGCATCTGGAGATGGAGGGGTTACTGAGAAAGTGAAAGATTATATCTAATTATGAGGGGAGAAAGAAAAGATTTCTGTACAATACAAATTTGTTTCCCACCAAATCCAGTTTTTCCAGTCTAGTGAATCCCTAATCCCATTCAATTTAGCCAAAGATACTGGGTCCCTCCCTTTGCGGGGTGGCGCTCAGATGAACTCACCTCACAAAAAAGTGTGTCATATACACTCCAGACAGACTCGAGGGTTACATCCCGGATTCCTGTCTCATTTGCCACCATCTTCAGGAACCGCTACAAGGACAGAGAAGAGACTGGGACCTTCCTCTCACCCACCACACAGTGCACACTCTAATCTGCAAAGCAGAACTTTCCTACCCCTCCCTCTTGTCTCTGGTTATGTGAAGCTGGCTTCTTCCCTGCCACAGGTTTCTGGAAACCTTTGTCTTACACAGGACTCTCACTTACCAAATTCTGCCTGGTTTTATTCATGTACTCTGCTGACTGCCGGGTTTCATTCTGCAGCTGCTCATACCGTGGGCAGGGGGACAATGGGAACTTCAGCAGCTGGACAGAGCCAAAAGAAAAAAAAAAGAAAAGAAAGAAGAGCTTGGTGGTTGGAACATTTGAGTACAGAATCCTCCTAACAGACATTAACAACTGTACCACACCCCAATCCTCTATGTCTGCCAGGAGAAGGCATCTCCTTTCCACTGAGATGCTGTATTTAATGTGCTGAATGAGCAGAGGCCCTGAATTCTTCCTTGGCCCAGGAGCAGGAAAGGCAGGTCTAGGGAGTGATGGGAGGGAAGCTCTGGACTGAGTGAACATGGACACTGAAGAGAAAGGCTCTTGGATGGAGGAGATCCTAGTGTCTGTGCTGCCAGTATTTTCCCTTGCCATGACTCACCCTTTCCCCAGAGTCGGGCACTGTGTGTACAGGGATTGGCTGCCAGGAAATGTTTGGGTTGAACACTTGCAGTCCTTCTGGGGGGTAGAGGCCCGCCAGGTTGGCTTCTGCGCTCATCAGGGTCCGGTCATAATCTGTGCTACGAATGAAGATCTACCGGGGTAGAGACAATACATTTTGCTCATATCAATACTATACCATGGAAAAGGGAATGCAGGGCAAAAAAAGAAAAAGGAAAAAGAAAAAAAAATGCATGCAAGTGTGCCAAGGCCATTACAGATAGAACACTTCCCAGGGTAGGGGAGAAGGAATTTGGTGTGTAATACAGGACAGGGTGGGACACAGCATGGAGATGAGATAGATGGGAGGGAAGAAGGAACTCAGGTGAGAAGTAGGAGTTAGGAGCAAGCAGGCAGAAGAAGCAGAAATGTATTTGGTGACAAGTACACAAAGTAAATGTAGCATTTACAGCACAGGACTGGAGGCTGGATTCCTTGGCTCAGTTTAGCTCTGAAACTGATTCACTGAGAAATTCGTGCAAGAATTTGTGCCTCAGCACAATCATGGCAGTAATGATAGATACACTTAACAGTACGGACAGAAAAAGGTGCTGAAATTTCATTCATTAAAGCAGGGGTGTCAAACATCCAGCCTCACAGAGCTTCTGATGGACTGGATGATCCACCTCTACACAACTCCAGAACCCAGAGGTTAATGCTGCTGCCATTCCCTTCCCCCACCTTACCCATCACTGTATTTGGGGCTCAAACACCTTTGGTGATGAAGATTAATGGAAGGGGATAGAGGGGAGGTGAGCAGCAGGGATGTTACCCCCTGGGTGCGAGAGCCACACTGATACAGCAGCTCCAGCAAGTGTGGGGACTAAATCCATCACCACTGCTTATGGGTCATCCACCTGGTCTAGATCTGGCCAAATGAGCTTCACATTCCTGTATCAAAACTTTTTCAGCTCCTAGGATGGAAAGAGCATAGAACATTCATTACTTCAGAGCTTGGAAGGGGGAGCTTGGCCCTCATAGGAAAGAAGGGCAAAGGCAGTTTCAAGAAGAATTAAGGTTTCAAGAGTTTAGTACCTTACTACTGCCTACCAGAGACACTGGGGTAGGAGTGGGGGAAGAAGTGCATGGAGCAGGCCTGAGGGACAGATAGGCCTGGCCCAGAGAGAGGGCTGACATCAGGTAGTCAGGGCATTAGAGAAGAAATAGATAAAGCAAGAGGAGTCAGGGGTGAAGCCGAAGGTCGGGAGCTTTGGTGATGGTGACTGGAAATGGGCAGTTGCAGAGAGAATGTGCTGTGAAAGGGGAAACGTTGGTTTTCTTCACAGAGCATCAAACTATATCTGGCAAACTGTTACTTTTTAGCAAAATTTATTCAGTCTTTAGACTGACTATTTGTATCCACTTTAGGTGAATCATGCCATGACTCAGCAAAGCTACAGCAAAAGCCTTCTCCATTAGGAAAGATGAAGGAATGCCTAGGTAAACCCTGAAGGAGCAGCAGGAATTAGCGGACTAGAGCAATGTAACAAACCACTAAATCCTTAAACAAACATGTCTGTTTCAGTACCCTTTTACAGGAATCTGGCCTGTAGCCATGTCAGATGACCAGTGCTCACATGAGAGCAATCCAGAGATGGTGCTTCCTAAAAGAGAAGGCCAGGCAGAGAAGAGAACTAAAGTCTGGAGAAGGTTGTTCTTCGCATTAACCAGGAAGCAAACAGAAAAGTTTTAGAGGAGAGAGATTTAGGAAGGGACCATACAGTCTGGAAAAGAGGGTTGGAATATGTATTTTTATGCTGCCATGGTACATAGTTTTTACAAGGCCCCATATTAGAACAATGACACTTCACAACAGCTGTTTCCAAATTGGGTGAAAACTCCTCTGTTGGAAATATTAAAAACTTACAGAGAAGGAACAGGAAAAAGCAAGTAACTGGTTTGGAGCATGGATGCAAATAAAGAGAGGGGTTTGGTTAGTAATGATAGCAATTGCATGTTACTTTTCCAAGAAGCACTATCTTAAGTTGGTTTCCTGGGCAGGCTGCTCCATGGAATGATCAACCATGATTTTAAATTGTCTTTTTTAATATCAGGGTTCAGGACTTTGGGAAACAGTACCAAATATTATCTTCCAACTTTGACTCCTGGGCCAATTTCACAGCATTTTTAACCCTCTTACAGTAGTATTGCTTCTAATTAACCCTTGGCTGAATTTATCCTAGTATCTGTAAGACAAAGAGTTTTAAGCTCATTATTTTTTTTTCCTCCTAAGTCCTGTTGGCCCTTTAAGCTGGGATGTTTGCAATGAGGCATGAAAGGCTAAGGGCAAGTAGATCTCCCTAGCTCAATTCAGAAATTGACAGTGGAAACAAATCAGAGAACAAGCATATTCTACTTTCTTGATGTAACCCAGCTTGATAAGATCCATTATACCCCAAGGACTTTACTTCAGTGGCAACTTAGGTTTCTGACGTGCTAACAACATTTGCCTAGGTCAGATGTTCTACAGATGACAGATCCAGCTACTGGAAGGTCTTGCATGAATAGCCACTCTACTGCACAGGCATGGCAGGGTGGGCTGGGGACACAGAACAAAGAACAGTTCCTCCAGCTACAAGCTGTATTACAGTTTCTCTTTTTCTCCCTTCTGAGTTCACTCCCTTTGGAGCTTGACACCCAGGACTTCCCAATTAAAGTCCTTCTCTGACATCCCAATTCTCCTTAAGGAAAAGGATTGGAAGGAGCAATGCATAGGCTAACTTGGTTAAACTGTCTCTGGTAGCTCTGTAGGAAAGGGAAATAAAATCTATTCCAGCAGATGTTTTGTTTGACACTGACCTCCTGCCGTTGGTATGAGGCATTCAGGAACCCATGGTAGCGGCTCCGCAGGGCCTGGCCCAGCTCCCATTGCTGCTGCATCCCCATCTGCCAGCAGGCCCAGAGTGAGTCACCAGGGAGCCCGGACTG